GCCACCGCAAATAGATAATAAGTGTTGTAGCCTTCTTGGACAAGGGCGAAATATCTCAGAGGGCTCGTGTGCAAGTTGGGCACGCTAAAGATCCTTTGGTGGTCTACAATCGATAAGAGTAGGCTTCGTCCGCCACCCGGGCAAAATTCAAAATTTCCTACCTACTGAAGAAGTTTAATGTGTTCCGCGCGCTCATATGACCTTATGCAGTTGCAAGCGCCGTAAAACACTTACAAAAACAAAAACGAAAATGCAGGAGAGAAGTGTGGACACGCCAGTTGAGTTTATTGTCTATTGTAACACTCAAATACTTATAGTCTGACACTTGCTCGATGTTTTCCCTTTTAATTTCGAGTGGCTGCAGGGGTGGTTTCTTTATTCTAAAATCAACAACAAGTTCTTTTGGGGCTTTTTTTCACATTTAAAAGCAGCTTATGATTTTCACACCATTCAGAAAAGTACAAAATTCCGGTAAGCGGTTTCACTATGGTCAGCCTGAATTAGCCCAATTATGGTTGAATCATCTGCAGATTTTATCAACTTGATGTTACTGTTGTTTATTTGGCAATCGTTCGTGTATAGTGGGTATAAAACTGGGGACAAAACACGTCCTTGAGGGACCCCAGTATTTGTTGTGATATATGTCGATGAAGAATGTTTTAATTAAATTTTACCTACTGGGTTCGGTTGGTAAGAAAATTGCCTATCCATGATATTAAATTGACGTTAACACCTATGTTTTCTAATTTCTTTAAAAGGATAGCTGGCTGAATAGTAATAAAGGCTGACGAAAATTCAACAAACAGGATCCTACAGTATGTTTTTGGCTTGTCTAAGTGTTAATATATGTTGTCAAAAATTGTAGAATGGCGTCTTCAACACTTCTCCCGTGACGATATGCGAATTGTAGAGGGTCCTGGATGGGGTCTATATACGTTCGTAGTCTTTTTAGCTCAATTTTTTTCTAGACATTTTATAACTACGGATGTTAAGGCTATTGGCCTTTGGTCATTCATTTCAGTAATTTTTTCTTTCTTTGGAAGGGGGACGATTTCAGAACATTTCCAAATAGTGGGAATAGTATGTGTCAACAACGACAGGTTGATAATATAAGTGTAAATAAAATTAAGTTGTGCTGAACACATTTTCAGAATTTTGGGTTGTCTGGACCACACGCCTTTCTCACATTCACACGTCCAAACACACATCTGACCTCACGTTCTTCAACAACAACAGCATTATTTTCATACGGACTGCCTTTGTCAAAACGGGGGGAAAAGGCATTTAATTTATTTGCATACTCTTCGTGGTCAACACATATGCGCGTTGGTTTATTTTTGTAGCCCACTGTGGTCTTAAGCCCAGCCCATGTCTCTAGGGAGTTATTTGAACGAAACAGATCTTCCTGTTTCTTTTAATATTTTTGTTTTTCAACCCAGATTACTTTCTTAATAGCTTTGTCTATGACTTTAAGTTCTGTTTTGTTATAGTTTTTAAAATTTTGTAACAAAATGTGTGTTTTAACAGGTTTTTGAATGACTCCGGGTTTTTTTTCTACTTTTTTTCTTCGTTTTTAAATTTATAGACAAATATACACACACAGGCATTCGCACTCGTACAAATCAGACACCCGCATGCAAACTCGAAAAAAAACCATAGGTGCACACACGTACACACACTAGTAGGCACACACAAACCCATTCAAATACCAACCCCCCCAAAAAAACCCAACAACAACAGACACATAAAGCACAC